AGTGTGGTGAGTGTTGGTGTGACAGTGTGGTGAGTGTGATGTGACAGTGTGGTGAGTGTGGTGAGTGTGGTGTGACAGTGTGGTGAGTGTGGTGAGTGTGGTGAGTGTTGGTGTGACAGTGTGGTGAGTGTGGTGTGACAGTGTGGTGAGTGTGGTGTGACAGTGTGGTGAGTGTGGTGAGTGTGGTGAGTGTTGGTGTGACAGTGTGGTGAGTGTGGTGAGTGTGGTGAGTGTTGGTGTGACAGTGTGGTGAGTGTGGTGTGACAGTGTGGTGAGTGTGGTGTGACAGTGTGGTGAGTGTGGTGAGTGTGGTGTAACAGTGTGGTGAGTGTGGTGAGTGTGGTGACTGTGGTGTGACAGTGTGGTGAGGGTGGTGAGTGTGGTGAGTGTGGTGTGACAGTGTGGTGAGTGTGGTGTGACAGTGTGATGTGACAGTGTGGTGTGACAGTGTGGTGAGTGTGGTGAGTGTGGTGAGTGTGGTGAGTGTGGTGTGACAGTGTGGTGAGGGTGGTGTGACAGTGTGATGTGACAGTGTGGTGTAACAGTGTGGTGTAACAGTGTGGTGAGTGTGGTGAGTGTGGTGAGTGTGGTGTGACAGTGTGGTGAGGGTGGTGTGACAGTGTGATGTGACAGTGTGGTGAGTGTTGGTGGGACAGTGTGGTGAGTGTTGGTGTGACAGTATGGTGAGTGTGGTGAGTGTTGGTGGGACAGTGTGGTGAGTGTGGTGTGACAGTGTGGTGAGTGTTGGTGTGACAGTGTGGTGAGTGTGGTGTGACAGTGTGGTGAGTGTGGTGTGACAGTGTGGTGATTGTGGTGTGACAGTGTGGTGAGTGTGGTGTGACAGTGTGGTGAGTGTGGTGAGTGTGGTGTGACAGTGTGGTGAGTGTGGTGTGACAGTGTGGTGAGTGTGGTGTGACAGTGTGGTGAGAGTGGTGTGACAGTGTGGTGAGTGTGGTGTGACAGTGTGGTGATTGTGGTGTGACAGTGCGGTGAGTGTGGTGTGACAGTGTGGTGAGTGTGGTGAGTGTGGTGTGACAGTGTGGTGTGACAGTGTGATGAGTGTGGTGTGACAGTGTGGTGAGTGTGGTGTGACAGTGTGGTGATTGTGGTGTGACAGTGTGGTGAGTGTGGTGTGACAGTGTGGTGAGTGTGGTGTGACAGTGTGGTGAGTGTGACAGTGTGGTGAGTGTGGTGTGACAGTGTGGTGAGTGTGGTGTGACAGTGTGGTGAGTGTGGTGAGTGTGGAGTACGGACACACCTGTATATACTATGAAAAAGACAAGAACCCCCCGTTATAGCCATACGACTGTAGGGGGGTGCTGTTTAGACAGCACCGATAAATTCTGCGACCATCACCACGCCCTGCCGCCATTGGCTCCCCAGTAATTTTTATATTTTTTTCACACTGCACCAGGCACCAGGTACTGATTTAAGACCGAGTCGACCTAGGGGCGGCCCAGGACCGCTTGGGATTGTTCATCACCGATGTCGGCCGTGAGCGGCAATGTAACGCGGCTCTGTGCCGCGTTCGGAGATCGGGGACATCGCCGACCGTCTGCTGCCCACTCGTGTAACAAACACTTGTGCGGAGACCTTCAACCAAGAGTGGATCGACCATGGCCGTTGATGGCGAGGCCTCATATCCCTCCGATATCCGCTCATTCACACGCAGCCCCTACTAACGTTGCGAGTAGACACACAACAACAAGGGTGGCTCTCCAGTCGACAGAACAGAACACGAGGGGTGGCGTGTGGATAGTACCACGCCCGGCCGACTTTTACCATCCCAAGTGGCAATGTTGACGCATCGTGACACCAGGGATTCATTTGATGCCGAGTCGACCTAGGGGAGGGCCTGGTAAGGGTTCAGATGCTCGTCACTGGTGGTGGCCGTGAACGCGGAATGTGACTCGGGTCGCCGGGTTCGTAGCGCGGCGCGCTATCCTCTACACTACCACTCCCCACACACACACAGACACATGCATCATACACACACAGACACATGCATCATACACACACAGACACATGCATCACACACACACACAGACACATGCATCAACAACAACAACCGCCATTCGCCACTAAGTGGCGGTGACGTCACCACGATGCTTGTACCAGGCTATGTGCACCCTGAGGCCACGTGCATCACACACACAGACACATGCATGACACACACACAGACACATGCATCACACACACAGACACATGCATTACACACACAGACATGCATCACACACACACAGACACATGCATCACGCACACACAGACACATGCATCACACACACAGACACATGCATCATACACACACACAGACACATGCATCGCACACACAGACACATGCATCACACACACAAACACATGCATCACACACACAGTCATGCATCACACACACAGACACATGCATCACACACACACACAACACATGCATCACACACACACAGACACATGCATCACACACACACAGACACATGCATCACAAAGATAAAGATCCCCCATATAGCCTTAACAGACTGTAGGGGCAAGTGCTGTTAGCGAGCACCTATGAAGGCCGGAACGGTACACGAGGGGGTGGGTGGCCAGCACCACGCCCGACCGCCTTTGTCTCCCTAGTGGCAATGTTTACACACCGCACCAGGTACTCATTTGAGGCTGAGTCGACCTAGGGGAGGCCTGGGACCGTTTCAGATAATCGTCACTGGTGTTGGCCGTGAGCGGGAATCGAACCCGGGTCGCCAGGTTCATAGCATCACACACACACAGACACATGCATCACACACACACAGACACATGCATCACACAGACATGCATCACACACACACATCACACAGACATGCATCACACACACATCACACAGACATGCATCACACACGCAAAAAGACAAAGATCCCCCATATAGCCTTAACAGACTGTAGGGGCAAGTGCTGTTAGCGAGCATCACACACACACACCCACACACAGACACATGCATCACCCACACACACAGACACGTGCATCACACACACACAGACACATGCATCACACACAGACACATGCATCACACAGACATGCATCACACACACATCACACAGACATGCATCACACACACACAAAAAGACAAAGATCCCTCATATAGCCTTAACAGACTGTAGGGGCAAGTGCTGTTAGCGAGCATCACACACACACCCACACACACCCACACACAGACACATGCATCACCCACACACACAGACACGTGCATCACACACACCCACACACAGACACATGCATCACACAGACCCATGCATCACACACACACACAGATACATGCATCACACACACACAGACACATGCATCACACACATGCATCACAGACACATGCATCACACAGACACATGCTTCACACACACAGACATGCATCACACTCACACACATGCATCACACTCACACACATGCATCACACTCACACACATGCATCACACCCACACACATGCATCACACCCACACACATGCATCACATACACATGCATCACATACACATGCATTACACACACACATGCATCACACCCACACACACACATGCATCACACCCACACACACACATGCATCACACACACATGCATCACACCCACACACACACCCACACACAGACACATGCATCACACCCACACACAGACACATGCATTACCCACACACAGACACATGCATCACACACACATGCATCACATACACATGCATCACATACACATGCATCACACACACACACAGACACATGCATCACACACACACAGACACATGCATCACACACACACACAGACACATGCATCACACACACACACAGACACATGCATCACACACACACATGCATCACACACACATGCATCACACACACACAGGCATCACACCCACACACAGACACATGCATCACACCCACACACAGACACATGCATCACACCCACACACAGACACATGCATCACCCACACACACACACGTGCATCACACACACCCACACAGACACATGCATCACACAGACCCATGCATCACAAACACAGACACATGCATCACACACACACATGCATCACACACACACATGCATCACACCCACACATACACATGCATCACACACACATGCATCACACACACACACAGACACATGCATCACACCCACACACAGACACATGCATCACACACACCCACACACAGACCCATGCATCACCCACACACACACACGTGCAGCACACACACCCACACACAGACACATGCATCACACAGACCCATGCATCACACACACACACATGCATCACACACACACACATGCATCACACACACAGACACATGCATCACACACACACACGGGTACAAGTAGCGCTCACGAGTGCCCCGAGTACGAACACTGACGGTGCTGCCATGTCTAACACCACCAGGGGTCTTCACCCTCATTCGGCATCGGCCCGCGGACACAAGGCAGCTCAGGGCGTAGCCAGAGGTCTGTCTCTGCCCCCGAGTCTGCTTGTGAGTAATAATTAATCCGTCTCTCCCTGGGTCTTCGTGTCCGAGTCTTTGTCCCAGGACCCCGGCAGTGCATCGACTGTCCCCGTCTCCCCGAGCGCCACTCTGCCCGTCCCCCGTGTCTCGCTTCGGTTCCGTGTCCCTTGCGCTCTCTCGGTGTCTGTCTCCGCGCCTCTCACCGTGTCTCCGTGTCCCCGTGTCTCCGTGTCCCCGTGTCCCCGTGTCTCCGCGCCTCTCACCGTGTCTCCGTGTCCCCGTGCCTCTCTCCGTGTCTCCGTGTCTCTCACCGTGTCTCCGTGTCCCCGTGTCTCCGTGTCCCCGTGTCTCCGTGTCCCCGTGTCTCCGTGCCTCTCACCGTGTCTCCGTGTCCCCGTGTCTCCGCGCCTCTCACCGTGTCTCCGTGTCCCCGTGTCTCCGTGCCTCTCACCGTGTCTCCGTGTCCCCATGTCTCTCACCGTGTCTCCGTGTCCCCGTGTCTCCGTGCCTCTCACCGTGTCTCCGTGTCCCCGTGTCCCCGTGTCTCCGCGCCTCTCACCGTGTCTCCGTGTCCCCGTGTCTCCCTCCGTGCCTGTCGCCGCCGCTCCCTGCCTGGATCCCCGCGGACTCCGAGACAGCTCCAAGGGAACAAAAACCGACGTCGGATCCCCGCACCGCCTCGAACGACTGCGCCCTCCCCCTTCTCCCCCCCCTTCTCCCCCCCCACACTCCCCCTACCCCCCCCACACTCCCCCTACCCCCCCACACTCCCCCTACCCCCCCCCCACACTCTCCCTACCCCCCCACACTCCCTCCGCCCACTTCCCCCGCTCCCCGTCTCCTCCCTTCCTCGTCCCCCAGCTCGTCTCTCCCCTCCCTCCTCGTCTCTCCCTCCCTCCTCGTCTCTCCCCTCCCTCCTCGTCTCTCCCCTCCCTCCTCGTCTCTCCCCTCCTCCCAGCTCGTCTCTCCCCTCCCCGTCTCCTCTGCTCGTCTCCCCCCCCCTCCTCGTCTCCCCCCCCCCTCCTCGTCTCCCCCCCCTCCTCGTCTCCCCCCCCCCTCCTCGTCTCCCCCCCCCTCCTCGTCTCCCCCCCCCCTCCTCGTCTCCCCCCCCTCCTCGTCTCCCCCCCCCCTCCTCGTCTCCCCCCCTCCTCGTCTCTCCCCCCCCTCCTCGTCTCCTCCCCCCCTCCCCCCTCTCCTCGTCTCTCCCCCCCCCCTCCTCGTCTCTCCCTCCTCGTCCCCCCCCCTCCTCGTCTCCCCCCCTCCTCGTCTCCCCCCCCCCCTCCTCGTCTCCCCCCCCCTCCTCGTCTCCCCCCCCTCCTCGTCTCCCCCCCCCTCCTCGTCTCCCCCCCCTCCTCTCTCCCCCCCTCCTCGTCTCCCCCCTCCTCGTCCCCCCCCCTCCTCGTCTCCCCCCCCCTCCTCGTCTCCCCCCCCCTCCTCGTCTCCCCCCCCCCCTCCTCCTCGTCTCTCCCCCTTCATCCCGTGAAGCGCCACGCACCTGCATGGCCACTCCTCACGCACGACCCCTCGGCCACTCCACCTGCCCAGAGCTCACCGACACAGTCACCATTCACGCTATGCACAATGTAAGCCACACTGTACACGCGGAGCTAATACGCTTCCTTCACATATCTGTTGCTCCACATGGGTCCTCGGTCGACTCTAGACTACATTACAAAAATAATCATTACGAATATCGTGAGGACGATAAGTTACAAGAGTAATAAGGAGACATCCCAGTAAATACACAGACGCCGCGGCCGACGATTGTACCACCTTTCCATACTGCCCCTCCACTTAAAGTATTTTAATGACAATAATAAATAAATGTGCGTTTGACATTGGAGGGTCATTCATAATAAAGGTTGTTTTGGGTTAGATCGCGTTTCGTTTGGTATTACCTTTGAATCTCTGCACCTTTTGAGGAACGCCAGTGAAGATATCAATTTCATCCGCTTAATGCGAAGCTTCTCCAATTTTCTGGTTTTAAGAAGAGGATACTTTTCTTAAAACCAGAAAATTGGAGAAGCTTCGCATTAAGCGGATGAAATTGATATCTTCACTGGCGTTTCTCAAAAGGTGCAGAGATTCTAAGGTAATACCAAACGAAACGCGATCTAACCCAAAAAACCTTCATTATGAATAATATTGGTCGCGAAAGCCTACGTGTTAAACTGACTAACCTCTATGGGGAGGATACTTTTCTTAAAACCAGAAAATTGGAGAAGCTTCGCATTAAGCGGATGAAATTGATATCTTCACTGGCGTTCCTCAAAAGGTGCAGAGGTTCTAAGGTAATACCAAACGAAACGCGATCTAACCCAAAAAAACCTTTATTATGAATAATATTGGTCGCGAAAGCCTACGTGTTAAACTGACTAACCTCTATGGGGAGGATACTTTTCTTAAAACCAGAAAATTGGAGAAGCTTCGCATTAAGCGGATGAAATTGATATCTTCACTGGCGTTCCTCAAAAGGTGCAGAGATTCTAAGGTAATACCAAACGAAACGCGATCTAACCCAAAAAACCTTCATTATGAATAATATTGGTCGCGAAAGCCTACGTGTTAAACTGACTAACCTCTATGGGGAGGATACTTTTCTTAAAACCAGAAAATTGGAGAAGCTTCGCATTAAGCGGATGAAATTGATATCTTCACTGGCGTTCCTCAAAAGGTGCAGAGATTCTAAGGTAATACCAAACGAAACGCGATCTAACCCAAAAAAACCTTTATTATGAATAATATTGGTCGCGAAAGCCTACGTGTTAAACTGACTAACCTCTATGGGGAGGATACTTTTCTTAAAACCAGAAAATTGGAGAAGCTTCGCATTAAGCGGATGAAATTGATATCTTCACTGGCGTTCCTCAAAAGGTGCAGAGATTCAAAGGTAATACCAAACGAAACGCGATCTAACCCAAAAAACCTTCATTATGAATAATATTGGTCGCGAAAGCCTACGTGTTAAACTGACTAACCTCTATGGGGAGGATACTTTTCTTAAAACCAGAAAATTGGAGAAGCTTCGCATTAAGCGGATGAAATTGATATCTTCACTGGCGTTCCTCAAAAGGTGCAGAGATTCTAAGGTAATACCAAACGAAACGCGATCTAACCCAAAAAAACCTTTATTATGAATAATATTGGTCGCGAAAGCCTACGTGTTAAACTGACTAACCTCTATGGGGAGGATACTTTTCTTAAAACCAGAAAATTGGAGAAGCTTCGCATTAAGCGGATGAAATTGATATCTTCACTGGCGTTCCTCAAAAGGTGCAGAGATTCAAAGGTAATACCAAACGAAACGCGATCTAACCCAAAAAACCTTTATGAATAATATTGGTCGCGAAAGCCTACGTGTTAAACTGATTGGAGGGTCAGTCACGCAGATTGCATCGTCTGACGCCTGACGCGAAAGAGGAGGCACAGAAGGCAGCAGTCACGCGGTGACCCGGGGCCAAATTCTCCCCCAAGTTCTGCAGTCCTCGATATATGTTAAGATGCTATCGCCCAATTAATGCACATGTGTGAGAAAACCGGAGCCCCTGAAGACAACTCAAACGTGCCAGGTGGAGTGCAACACTCTATCCCATGCAGTTGGAACAGATCGCAATTACCCCACACTTTGCTGTACCGCATTCTCCTGGCAAGCAAGGGTACGGCCTCTCTGGTGGCCACGGGTAGGGGACTTGCGCAGACATTCGTGTGAGCTACCAACCAGGGCTGTCTTCGCAATGCTGGAGGACTGCACGGCTCACTTCGCATCGCCAGCACGGTGCGGTGACGATGTCTCCAGCTCTCGCCGACTCAACCAGAGGGCCATTGTGCCAGGCTGACCGGCGGATTGGGTTTCGCTTTCAAAGGAGACAACGCCACATTATTATTATTCGCAAACACGTGGCCACGTGTGTACACGGTGTGCTGGTTGTAATGACAATAATTGTTTGCATTGTTAACCCGGCAATGCTCGTGCTTATAAATGCCAAATTAACCCTGCCACGGAAACACAATACAGCTTGCGTTCACTTGTTTTACGTTGCAAGATAAGCCAATTCCCAGCAAACACGTTGGTGCCACGTTGGCATGCTTAAGTTTGTTGAAACAATGCAACCCACGGACGCAAGGGGCTCATGAAACGAACTTCAGCCTCGCTGATGTCTCACGAGTGCAGTAATTTTTCAAGGAAATGTCGTTTTTTACTTCCTCGGGCAAATGCACCACAAGCGCGCGTTGTGTTCACGTGACGCGCGTTGTGTTTACGTGACGCGCGTTGTGTTCACGTGACGCGCGTTGTGTTCACGTGACGCGCGTTGTGTTCACGTGACGCGCGTTGTGTTCCCAACGCAGTCGGCCGAGTCGACTCCCCCCCCCCCCCATCGCTCAATCCGGGCGGAGCTGCAAAGACAGCGCACAGCTGCAGACCGAGGCGACATTCTCCTCTGCAGATGCCTGGAGAGCAGATCAGAACTATGCCGGCTCAAAGCCGGAGATTGTGGCGCTTACTGGAAGTGGTCGCACCCGTTTTACCTGTGTTTGAAGGCGTGGTATTACACAGCGCTTATCTGTGGGGCTGAGAGCAGGCTCTGCTGCCTCGGGCTAGTGACTCTCGCACGTGTTTGTGAGTGCAGGGAAACGCTGCGTGGAGTCAACATGGCACGTGACCCTTGACAGAATTTGAGTGAAAACATTAAATAGCTTAACTGATGTTGATTGAACTGTTACGCCTCATCCATACTGTGCTCAACGACCATCCCAGTAAACCACACACCATCGTCAGGCCATCGCTAGCATGTGGTTGGAACCGTTGGCCCAATGTTCCATCTTCACTGGGACGCTGCAGGTCACTCTTCTTCCTGCTTCCCTTTGGAATCCCCTCCTCCCACCCATCATCGCCTCTTCCCCCCACGCCCTTCCTACAATATTAATAATAACCTTGCTCAAGTCAAGATACTATTAAGACTCTCATCCGTTACAATTTTAATAGTGGTGTTTGTTGCTGACCGCTTGGCGTTTTGGGGCCTTTGGGCCTACTGCGCTCAGCAATCGTAATTTACTTTTTCAAAAACATTGCAAACTTCCGGCTCACACTCCGGAGTCCGACGAGCCATTGTGGCGCGCATCTTTGCTCAGCACCTCGCAGATGGCAATGAGGTGGAGGATGCGGAGCCACTCCCTTCATTGGGTGCCATTGCTCGTTCTGCAAGGCCAGGTCACGCACTCTCACAACGCTTACACTGGGAAATCGGACAGAGGAATCCTGTAGATGTTTAGTAGTTGTGCATTCCTCACACGTTGCATCACCACCCTTGCTTCTCAAGAGAGACCATCCTTCAATGAGATCAGTGTTAGTACGATGAGGATGATGTAAGCAGGTCAAGGGGCAGCCCTGTAATTTCCTGTTGACGCCACTGCTGGCCAATCGACGTCGCTGTGTTGTACCAAATTCACACTGCTGGATGGACAGAGGCGGCTGGAAGGATATTTAATTAAAAAAAACCTGCACAGTGGTTCACCTGCCGCGCCAGGAAATGGAATTGAACCTGCGACCACTGGATCACCAAGTCCGACGTGCTCACCATTACACCACTGTGGCAGCAGCGGATGATGACGATGATGATGAGATCACATATTGCTGCTACTGACGTGTTAGAGACCCCGAATTATATGAGATGCCTTGCACAATGCCAGCCAATG